CGTGAGTTCAGTTCCCAGTACCGGAGAAAGACCAAAAAAAAAAAAAAAAAGAAGAAGAAGAAGAAGAAGAAGAAAGAGGAGGAGGAGAAGAAAAAGTAATGAGAGAGAAACAGACACAAAATGATAGAGACAGAGAGATCCAAGAGAGGGACAGACAAAAAGACAAATTGCTTGAGACAGAGACAGGGAGAGAAGGTGCTGAGCAGGCTGGCCAGATGCCCAGGAGTTGTTCGGGAAGCTGCTGGGCTGGGCCCAATCAGGGCAAGATGGATGGCTGCTTTGGGGAGGGAGAGGCCACCAGGCCAGGCGGCCAGCCGTCTCTCCCTAGGCACAACCTGCCATGGAAAGCCCAACCTGGTGACCGTTTCCTCCCCAGAGAGGCTGAGGTGACCCCTGAGGGCTTCCTCAAGGGCATTCTGAGGTCACACGGAAGGGGCTGCTATGATGGCACAGACCTCAGTTCTGCACCTAACCAGCTGTGAGGTTTGACAGCCACTGAGCTGCAAAATGGGAACAGTCACCGCCATCCTTGGTGGTTCTGACCTCTCTTTACCTGCCTCACAGACACTTTATGCCCGGGGAATAAAGATGCTCTTTAGGTCCACCTTGGAGGTAGCCAGGTGCAGTGGCCCATGCCTGTTATCCCGGCTAATCAGTAGGCTGATACAGAAGGACTACAATTTGAAGCCAGCCTGGGCAACTTAGCAAGACCCTGTCCAAAGATAAAAATAAAAATAAAAAGGAAAAAAAATAGAATGAAAAATAAATAAATAAAAACAGCTAGGGATGCACCTCTGGGCTGTGCCCCTAGTTTCAAAGGGATGTGGGGAAGCTTGGAGGTAACAAAGGCCTCCTGTGTGCAGCAATATTTGTCTTCTTTTTTTGGGGGGGGTTCCCCAGTACCGGGAATCAAACTCACGACATCGTGCTTGCCAGGCAGGTGCTGTGCCGCTGAGCTAAATCCCCAGCCCCTTTGCAGCAATATTTGATTTCAGATATCTGGCCAGGAGTTTAGGGCTGAGGGTGGGGACTAGTGAGAGTGGACTGTGATTCCAGTTTCCAAGGCTGTAGGATGTTTGTTTTGATTTTTGTTTTTTTGAGACAGGGTCTCACTATGTAGTTCAAGCTGGCCTTGAACTCAGTATGTAGCACAGACGGCCTTGGATTTGAGGCGATCCTCCTGCCTCAGCCTCCCGTGTGCTGAGATTACAGGCATGCATCACCAGGGCTGGCAAAGGTTGTATGATTTATATAAAGATCTATTGTCTCCTTGCCCTCGAAGCCCAGAACTGAGTCCCTCTCCCAACTTTACTGAGACAGGTTCTTCCTAATCACTACATTGCCTGGGTTGGGCTTAAATTTATAATCCTCTGGCCTCAGACTCCTGGACTGCTGGGATTACAGGTATGTGGCACCACACCTAGGTAAAAACTGAACCCTCCTGCTGGGTGCTAAGCCTCAGAAGGAGGAAAAAATATACATATTTCATTGCTGTGTCCTAACCATCCCAGGGCTCTGACCTTCACAACTGGGCCGCAAGAGAACCCTCTGATCACCCACAGTGCAGCCTCACCCTGCCTCTGCTCCATTCCCTTGCCCATTCATTCATTCAAATGATGGCCAGCGAATGTAGCTTGGTGGCAAAGTACTTGCTTAACATGCATGATACTCTGAGTATGGAAGAAAAATCCCTGGGTGTCCATCAGGAACATAAAATCTGGTAGGTGAAATCCGGTAAGAGGGCAAACCCAGGATGCTGAAAGGGCCACTGAATGGTCGCCCCAGCCCCATCTATTCAAATCCATGGCCTTCAACCCTGGCTGAAATGCTTCCTCCTCCACGAGGCTTCCCAGAATTGCTAAGAATGACCCTGCAGCATTGCTTCTCCAAGTGCCCACACACTGGGGTCTTATACAGGGGCTAGAAATGATAGGCATTGTATATCCCTGTAGACCCCAACCCCGGGCCGCTGGCTGGTGTTAGTCCCTGGCCTGTTGGGAATGGGTCACACAGGGGGAGCAGCTGCTATACACAGAGCCACTCCCCATGGCTTGCAAGGCCGCCTGCGCTCTGCCTCCTGTCAGATCAGTGTTAGCGTTAGATTCTCATAGGAGTGCCAACCCCAACATGACCTTTCTAGGCATAGGATCTAAATTGTGCACACCTTTGAATCATCCTGAAACCATCCCCTACCCCTACTCTGGAAACATCTTCCAGGAAACTGGTCCCTGGAACCAAAACAATTGGGGATCGCTCTCCCGCCTCCTCTTTGGAGGTCAGAGCCCATGTCCTTATTTTTGCACCCTACAGAGCCCAAGGCAGTAGCAGATGATCAGAGCTCAGGGGATACCTATTAGTTTCCTGTCTTTGAACCTCAGTAGCTCAAAGGATGTGGACTAGTTTTGAGTCTCGGTTGCCTTACTTGTAAAGTGCAGACAATAATTTTCATGTCCCCCTGGGGCCAGGTGGCTCAGACAAGATTTTGGATGCAAAGTCCCCTGGCAAGCTGGAGTCTGTAAAGCTCCACATCCAGATGTAGACTGTTACAACAATCCTGAGACAGAAGTTAGAACCAAAGAGGCTAGGAGCAGGCGCCCCTCTGTCTGCCCTGCTTCTCCTCCTGCACGACTGCGACGGAGGGGCTCTCTGAGCCTGAAATAAACCAAATTGTGGGTAGCCAGGCTGCCATGGCAGGGGAGGCTCGTGAGAGCTTGCAAACCCATGTCCACACCCAGGTCGATGGGTGACCTTGGGCAGGTCAGTCCCTTCCTCTCTCTTCCTCCATCTCTCTCTCTCTCCTCTTAAACTTTCAGTCTAGCACGGCATGGTGGCCCAAGACTGTAATTCAGCACTCTGGGAGGCTGAGGCAGGAGGATCACAAGTTTGAGCACAGCTTGGGCAATTTAGTGACTTAGCCAAGACCCTCTCTCAAAAAATAAAAAATAGAAATGGCATTGTGGCGCATGCCTGTAATCCCAGCACTCAGTAGACTGAGGCAGGAGGATTGCTGCAAGTTTGAGGTCAACCACATGGTGAGTTTATTTTTATTTTTTATTTTTTTAATTTAATTTAATTTTTTTATTTT